AACATACAGACTGTTTACCTCCACTTTAATAGTTATCACAATTTTTTTTTGTCATATGACACACACTCTCACCAGAGATGAGAGAGAAAGAAAGAGGGAGAGAGAAATCACCCTCTGGGTAGAAGATGGTCATGCTGCAATCCTTTCTTCTCCATTCTCATCTTGGGATTTTGGGCACACACGCACATGAACCCAGAGTGATTTTCAAGCTGCTAGGTCAGGGACTTGAAACTTGAAGTCAGCAATCTGGAATCCAGGTGTCTTAACCTACATGATAACCCTATCACAAAATGTTTTAAGGGATGATATTTATTAGAACAATGGAAGGAATCCTATGTAGAAAATCATGGAACTTGCAAGCAGAAACAAGACAATGTAATAAAATAATGCAGAGCATGACATCAAATCCATGCTTCCTTGAGTAGATATGCCTCATCAAAGCAAATCTTCCATAGTAATTCCATGTATGGCTAAAATCCATTGTATTTACAATCATCTCTGACATGATACTGTAATAAGTCAATTGATTTATGGAGATTTTTCCTTTCCATGAAGACTACATGTGAAACATATATTTGTTAAGTAACTTTTAAAAAATATAATTATAATTACTTTTTAATTAGACCATAGAGAGACAGAAAGAGAGAGGGAAAAGAGAAAGCAAGCCACCAGGTCTGGGACTCAAACTGCAATCAGTCATGTGAGAGTTTGGTGCCTTAGCTTTCATATTACCTGCCAGTTCCTGTGAGCAACTTTTACTCTTCCACTCATTGCCAGAGAACATAGTAAGTACTGTGGACAAAAAGCTGAATTAGAGGATAGGATTTTAATCAGGAAAATAAGATGCCATACACATGAGTTTGTGAAAATCTATGTTTTCAGGGGGAGAAATTAGGGTAGTGATGAAAAAAGTGGTAATAGACACTGAAGTGAAAAACTATGGTCTCACATATTCACATACAATGAAATCATATTAATGACCTTATTGTTGCCAAGTATAATTTAATAAATAATAAATACACCATGAGACACACTGAGTTCCACTTCACCAAAATCCTTCAGAATAGACATGTTAGGTTTCAGATTTATGTTCAATTTTTAAAATATTATCATTGCGGGAACCAGCAGTTAGCGTAATGGCTATGTCGCTGGACTCCCATGTACCCCCCAGGGGGGTGATTTCTCGCTTTCTGTCTCTATGTCTCTCTCTGTCTGTCTGGTGAGCACACGCGCCCTATAGTGAAAACCTCTCCAAAAATAAAAAAAAATGATCATTGCAATTCATTGATGTTTTATATACAGCTCATATACATAAACTGATGGTAATGTTAACAATCTTTTTGCATTGTAGCATTCTCATTATGACCTATCACATGAGATGAAGTATAGAATTTTTCTACCTTTGCTCAGAAAGCTTCTGATTTTGGAAATTATGAATTTTGGATTTTTGTATAGCAGATGTTCAAATTGTATGAAAAACATGGGAATCTCCAAATTGTCCCTTTATTTGAGAATAAATATGGGAAAGTAGGTAAATGACAAAGAGAAAGCTGTTGGATTCAGGGAGAATAGAAAGTTTTATGAAAGAACAGTTTAAATTGTTTAAAATACTGAAATCAAATAGATTAAAACTAAAGAGATGGATATAATTCTACTTCTATGATCTGATTAAAGAAACACAATTTTGAATCTGAGGGTTATATCCCTGCCATCTTTGTACCATTGAAAATGGCCTGATTATTGCTTTCTTGTGATTAATTGTTTCAGACCTCTTTTTATGTCTTTATTCCTCAGACTGTAGATGAAGGGGTTCAGCATGGGGGTGACCACAGTGTACATCACTGAGGCTGCTGCACTTGAGTATGAGCTGTGGGAAGCAGTAGAACTAAGGTACACACCCATGCTTGTACAGTAAAATAAGAACACAACTGAGAGGTGAGAGACACAGGTGGAAAATGCTTTATACTTCCCCTGCGTGGATGAGATTCTACGTATAGAGGAAACTATCTTAGAATAAGAACAAAGGATACCAGAAAATGTTCCACCACCTACAAACCCCAATGTAAAATACATCACCATTTCATTAAGAAAGGTGTCAGAACAGGCAAGGTGGACCACCTGATTAAGTTCACAGAAAAAGTGGGGTATTTCCAAATCTGTACAGAAGGATAGCTGTGACACCATTAAGCTATGTAACAAGGAATTCAGGACACTCATGATCCAGGCAGTAAGGATAAACAATACACAGAGCTGGGGGTTCATGATGATTGTGTACTTCAGGGGGTGACAAATGGCCACATATCGGTCATAGGCCATCACAGTCAGCAGAAAGATGTCCAACCCTGCAAATAGTAGAAAAAAGTCCATCTGGGTGATGCAGCCTGCGTAAGTGATGACCTTGCTCTGTGTCTGGATGTTCACCAGCATATTTGGGACAGTGGTGGAGGAGAAACAGATGTCAGCAAAGGACAGGTTGGAAAGGAAGAAGTACATGGGTGTGTGCAAGTGGGAATCTGAGATGGTGGCCAGGATGATGAGCAGGTTTCCAATCACTGTGATTAGGTACATGGAGAAGAAAATCCCAAATATGATGTGTTGCAATTCTGGTTCTTCTGAAAGTCCCAGAAGATAAAATTCTGTAATTTGTGTGGTATTCCCTGGTTCCATAAGATTGATGTGACTACCAAAAAAAAAGAGAAAAAAGATTTGATTCATATCACTTATCTATCACAGATGCTATCATTTGTATTCTGCATCACTCAGATACTTAATTTTTTAATTATGTGTGTGGCTCTGACCCCTTTAGGCATTCTCTGATTAGAGATTCCTATCCTGCTCAGCATTTACCAACACCCCAAGGATGTGTACTCTACAGTTTTAATAAGAAAACACATTATCCATTTGAAAAATATAAACTAAATTTCATGGCCTAGGCACTATTAAGACACTGAGTGAACAGAATTTTAAAACAAAGAAAGTAGACAGATAGGGAAGATTTACTACTAAGTGAAGCAAGTTGGACTATGAAAGAGAAACATTGTTTGTTTCCACTTAATAAATACTGAATGTTTTCACTCTATAGTAGAAACTGAAAGACTGGAAGGTATAAAGGCATGGAGAGAAATTGTGAAGACTAAAACCAGTGTGGGAGGAGGGTGGAAAATAGGGGAATGTGAGAGGGAGGAAATCAAGGGAATAGAGAAAGAAGCTAAACACTTAAATGACACAAAAATAAAAAAAACTCCATAGATGATAATATTTATAGTAATATCTTTGACTGGACCAATATATAGTGTACTCATAATGGGAAAATTCATTTGGTATTCTGTAATAATACACAGTGATTGAATGTAAGAAAAACATTAAATTTTACTTTTTTGGGTTTTTTTTGAGAGGCTTTTGCTATAAGGCGTGTGTACGCTTGTCAGAAAGACAGAAAGACAGAAAGCAGAACATAAACCCCCAAGGGTGATGGCCACACCACAATCTTTTCTCCTCCATTCTCCTCTCCAGGCCTTGGGCACACAAGAACATGTGCTTGGCATGAATTTAAGCTACCAGGTATGGGACTTGAACCGCGGTCAACTACATGGGAGTCCAGCGACATAGCCATTACACCAGCTTCTGGTCCCAACATTAATTTTTTTGGAGAGATTCTTGCTACAGGGTATGTGCACTCACCACAGACAGAGACAGAAAGAGCTAAATCACTCCCTGGGGGATGGCCATGTTGCAATCCCTTCTCCTCCATTCTCCTTGGCATCTTGGGCACACATGCACACGCACTTGGCATGAGTTTAAGCCACTGAGTCCGGAGCTTGAACCGTGGTCACCTACATGAGAGTCCAGGGACATATCCATCATGCTAACTGCTGGTCCTGCCAACATTAAATTTTATAAAAAGGTTCCTACAGGAACATTTGGAGAAAGAAGACAAGCAAATAAAAAAATTTATTTATCTTAAATAACAATAAACGCTGTGACTATAAAAAGAGATGGAAAGGAACCAGCAGGTGGAATGTTGTTTAAGGTGCTGGACTCCCATATGGCTGACTGCAGTTCAAATCCCTAACCTGGTGCCTTGCTTTCTCACTTTCCCTCTCTGTCTCTCTCTGAGTGCACACACTCTGTAGAAAATTTAAAATAAATAAGAATGGTAAATAAAATTGTGTGTGTGTGTGTGTGTCTGTGTGTCTGTGTGTGTGTTTGTGTGTGTGTGTGTGTGTGTGTGTTTAAACTGAGATATGAGACAAGACCAGCAGAGAAGCTGAAAATTGAAAAGACATCAAAATGAAGACAGAGCAGGAGTCACAAAATTACCTGAGTACTGTGCAATGTAGGAGGAACAGCTAGTGCAAAGACCCTGAAGGATGTGCAGCTTTCAGATGTTCAAAGTGAACAAGGCAGTCAGCATGTCAAGAAAATGAGCAAGAAAAGCATGAAGAGAGACAGAATGAGAGAATAATGACAAAGAGGCTTGTTGTTGCTGAAACTTGAAAGCACACAGACTCTTAGTCCAAATGTTGTTTCATATGAACTTCATAAACTTGTCTGCAGAGGTGTCCCATGAATAGAAATGCAACAGTCTGTATTTTCCTCTGTTGTCATGAGTTCTGGTCTTTACATTATGAGTCACCTTTAGGAATAGATGAGTCTCAGTCCCATTACTCTGAAAGAAGGTCTTACTTAAATACATGAATGCACACACACACTCATATAAATACACACACATGCAGCACATGCAAATTACATACATAAAACCTACACACATGCATCTTGTTGTGGCTTATTTGAGCCATCTTTTAATTTTTTTTTTTAGTTTTTAGATTTTTGTCATAAAGCATATACACTTACCAGAAAGGGAGAAAGAGAGAGGCAGGAAAAATGAAAGTGAGAAATCACCCCCTAGAGAATGGCACGCTATAGTCCCTTTTCCTCCATTCTCCCCCTGTGATTTTGGGAATGCATGCATGTGCACTTGGCATGTGTTTTCAAACTGCTGGGTCTGGGACTCAAAGTTGCTGGTCCCCATGCCTTTCTCATCCCTAGTTCCACCATTACAAAAGAATAATTCTAGGCAGCCTGTCAATACCAAATTATCTTTCCTTGAAAAAAAATATAGATCTCAAATTCTGGTTTAGAAATCCCCATACATAGATTATCCTGAGGATACACTTTGATAGGGTCCTTTTTGCCTTGTGTTTGAAGAAACAAACACAAAATCATCTGTCCAATTAACAGGAAGAGTGATTATTTGGCCCTGAGGAGGGAAAAAGACCTAGATAGCTCAGGTAGTCCTGAGAGATCATAAGTGAGAAAAAACTTTCTCACTTCTGGAGACATTTGAATTTCTGTTATATTCTTTCATTCTCAATAAAAATAATAAAAGACAATTATTATTTTACCAAGCAAAAAAGTAGTGGTATCTGTTTGGTGTAAAGACATTTATGAGATTGAGAGTATATTCTTTCATTCTCAATAAAAATAATAAAAAAATATTATTTTACCAAGCAAAAAAGTATTGGTATCTGTATGGTGTAAAGACATTTATGAGATTTAGATACTCAGTAGAAAAAAAAAATGAACAAATGGAATAAATCAATCATTCACAAAGGAAATATACAAAGAACCACAAAATTTGAACATGTTTTATTCATTCTTTTATTTTATTTTGCTATAGGACATGTGCACTCGCCAGAATGAGTATGTGTGAGAGAGAAAGCATTTTCTACAGGGATAGCCATGCCACAATCCCTACTCCATTCTCTCAGGATTTGGGGCATACACACACATGTGCCCAGCATGCTATTGAAGATTCTGGGTCCAGGACTTAAATTGTGCAGTTGGCATGTAAGATTCAGTCACTTTAAGCACCCTGCCACTGGCTAGCACTGACATGTTTTACATGAAACAGTACAAGACTATAGGCTTTTTTTTTCATGTAGTTGTTCCAAATTTATCTGTCCAAAAGAGGTCCCTTTCTCACAATTCTTTTTTGTTTGAATTCTTTTATTTGTTATTCTTAAGCTTTAATTTTTTTATCTCCTTTTATAACAATCCCGTAAGTGCACCCTATTCTGAGTTCTATTGTATCATTTACAGTGCAAAGGCTTCTGTAGTCTGTATTTTATAAAATCTTTCATATATCATAATAATTCTGTTCTTTCGTATTGAATAAAATTCTGCACATAAAAATAAATTCTGGGGCAAGCAGGTGGCATGGTAGTTAAGGTACTGGACTCTTACATGGCTGACCATAGTTTGAGTCTTGGACCTGGTAGCTTGCTCTTTCACTTTCTCTTTCTCTTTCTCTGGTGAGCACACATGCCCTGCAGTAAACTAAAAAAATAAAAATGTTAAATATAATTAAATAATTATTTTTTTAAAAGAAAAAAGTTATGCATGATGTATTCCTGAGGGAATTACATCATACAGTTATTTTATTGCACTCTATCCTCACCATTATGGTGCAAGATCTAAATAACAAAGACTGCACATGCTTTCTGTTTCCACAAAGGTTTGTGAACGTGTGCACATTATATGAAAAAGCTAAAGTAAGGAGAAAGTTATGAGATGCAAATAATTGAGGGCAAATACAAATCAGGTTAAATATAATTTTCTTTTCTGAAGAGTTTTGCTATAGGGTGCTTGTACTCATCAAAGAGAAAGAAAGAGATAGAGGTAGAGGAAAGGAAAGTGAGAATTCACCCAAGAGAGGATGACCACTCCACAATACCTTGCACATTCTCCTGTTGGAATTTTAGGTATGCATACATACCTGGATAAGTTTTAAGCCACCAGGTTTGGGGCTCGAATCATGGTGGACCATGTGTTAGTCCAGTGCCTTAATCATCATGCCAAATATTGATCCCAAATATAATAATTTGGAAATAACTGTTTTAATTATGCAATTTATAAATCTTCAAACATTCCTTCCAAATGACTTTAGTACTTACATTACCAGATGGAAAATAATTCATAAATTATTCAAATTCTTATGACTTTATGGAATGCAGCCAAAAACAATAATATAAACCCTTCAGACTCACTATACAGAAGAAAAGCAATAGCACAGAAAATATGCAATAGAATTTCAATATCTAACAAACACAGAAGTATATACAGTCTCATAAGTTAAGAAATAATTGCAAAGTAGAGATTGTTCAAATACCAGTTTTTATCTATTAAATAAAAATTTTTATTTTATCTAAATATTTAACATGAGAGAGAGTGTAATATG